AGGGGACAGCACATACAGGAGGAATGGAGATAGGGAGGAAACTCAAAACTTGAAAGTATTTGATGTCCCCACTGCAGAGGAGCTAATACAGTAACCTTAAAATGACAGAGGTCAATATGGGAAGGTGACCAGGAAGTAATGAAGAGGTCAGGTAGAAATGAATCAATTCAGGTTGTAATACACTTGTGCATGGAAGCAATGCTAGGAATCTCTCTGTATAGCTATCCTTATCTCAACTAGCAAAAATGCTATGTCTTTCTTATTATTGCTTATGTCTTCTCTTCAACAAAACTGGAGAAAAGGGCAGAGCAGGTTCTGCTGGAAGCAAGCGGGTGGGGGAAAGAAGGAGGAACGGGGGGAAGGCAGGGGGGAGAAATGGCCCAAACAATGTATGCACATATGACTAAATGAATTTTAGAAAAAAGATCAAAGTCCAACTCTTCTCTGAATATTTTCTATTTGAGCAAATTATCTAGGTGAGGCAACTGGGCTATCAGATGTCATATGGGTTGCGTATACAAAGCTCAGGAATGTTTAAGCAGGATCGGGACTTTTGAGTGGAATCTGGTTCACTGAACTACCTTAGTTAATGTTTTTCAAATGGCAACATGAAAGGGTAAGAAATGAGAAGATATGCCTTATTACATTCAGGACAAGAAAAGATGAGCCAGATAGATAATAGACTGGTCTGAGACTAAGAAGAAAAAAGAAAGAATCTGATCTGTTGTCAGATCTTTGCTTGGAGATGGAATCTGTTTGAATGGACATTCCTGCTCATTGCTCTGGTGTGGGAATCTTGTAGTGGCTTGGGAGTTGGATGCTGAGAGTTAAGGAGCAATATAAGGAATGTTCGAAAGGAAATAGATGCTGGAAAGGGAAGGGACAAGATCATAGGGTAGCACAAAAGCTAAAAGCCCATGAGGGGCAAAGAATTTGGGGTTTGTTAAAGAATATAAAGGAGGGAAAAAGGACAAAGTACTGCTTGGGCTAACCGAGACATGGCCTATAAATGAATGACTCACTTTATGCAGTTTTGCTAAGTAGCCACCCGAGGGCACTCTACCATATGCATCCAGGAACCTACTCTTATCTCCACCAAAGAAATTATTTATCCTCAATTTGCTGAAGGACAAACGTAGGTTAATACCTTAAAGAAGACTACCCATGGATGATGGGGGCACCAAACCATTCTTCCTTTCTATTTTTGTTCTTGAACTAGATTAATGAATAAGCAAGACTGACCTCAATTCAAATCCCTGGGTAATCACAAGAACTGCATGCAATAACCTCATTTAGATTTTTTTTGTATTTAATAGGGACTTAATAAATATTAGCTCCTTCTTATATACATGAATGTGACAAATATAGGAACAAGAGAAGAAGCATAAGGAGGAATTATATAAACCCTTTATCTCACTAACGGGGGCAGAACTAGAAGTTCCGAAATGAATAGCAGGCTGTGCTAGGAAATCACTGTGGAGAGCAAATTTATGTTGCTCCTTTCATTGCATGTTGCAGCTTGTACATAATAGCCATAGGGAATAGAACACAAACAGCTGGGAAATAAAGATGAAAGCAAAACTGTATCAGCAGGGAGAGACATACAACCCCCTGAGAATCTGGCAGTGTCATGGAAGATAATTTGAACAAGGTCACCTGCATGGGATTCCTCGTCTCAGAAAGATCATTAGATTGCTGCCCATTTACGTTCATCTCTGTGTGAGTCAGGGCGGAAGAGCATACACAGCACTTTGCTTTCAAATTTCTACACTGTGGTTCTGTCTATAAAGTGAAACAGAACCAGACAAAAGCAGACGTTACTGCAAAGGCTAAATGTGGAATTTTAGATGTCAGAAAACAAAGAAATTCTGCTTCCCAGTACAAATGGAGCAGACTGATGTCACCATCACCACCACCACTATACAGCATACTTTGTGGCCTTATGCTGCCCTCTAGTGTCTTTTTAAGATATAGTAATATGACAAAAACAAAATCCCACAAAAATCCTGAATCAGTCAATAAATATGACTTCAGTCAAAGACGGATGAAACAATCACAAAATTCCAAGATAAAATAAAACCGAAATTTATGCAAAAGTTAAATAGTAAGTTAAATTTGTTCCAGCATCTATTTGCATTATTTTAGGATGGTAACACATAGCATCTAGGTCAGTGGGTTCTTTAGAAACACAAACATCTATTATTCTCTGAACATACCTCTCAAATGGCACCACCTCACTTGGCTGAGGTGGATCCAGAAAACTGGTTCTAATGTAGTTAAATTTATGAGCCTCAGTTTGAGTACAGCCAAAAGTATTCACAATAACTTTGATCAGGGTATGGAATAAATTTGAATATTTTTAGCTCTTTAAGGATACAGCTCATAGGAAAAATAAACATAAAATAAGCTATTGACTTAAATAAGGGAACTTTCATTTTTCCTGCAGTCTCACTGGCTCAATCCTAGGTGACTAGCATGCATGTTCACTTCAGAGTGAGAGTTCATGTAGAATTTATCTTATATCCTAAAGCCCCCCACCCCAACTCCTGTGGGTGTCCAGGTAGGAAGGAGAAACAAGGTGCAGCTGTTTTTGCTCTTCCTTCATATTTCCATTAAATATTACTTTGGCAAAAAGTCTTCTTACTACACTTAGTTTCAATACCCCTGAAATGGCTCTCCAGAATTCTATTCTTCTCTGCCCTGAACATCTGTGTGCTTCCTGGGACAGAAATTTTGCATCAGAGCACCATGTCATCTTCTTCCCAACCCTGCTGTCCACTCTCAGCACAGGTCAGTATTCAGTAAACACTCTCCATCTGACTAGAGCCTACAACCACATATGAAAGGATGCCTATGATGAGAGACAGATGTCATGCCCCAACCACATTCTGTCCACATTCCACCCTTTGTGTTTGGTGTCACATATGGCAAGAAAGCTTCCACTGGGTCACACACCCAGGTTACAAGCCCATACCATGGCCTAAATTTAAGATCTAGCTCTCACCTTTTGGCCTGGTCTGATAAGTCTGTAACTATTTAAGAACTTCACAGTATTTAAGGGAATAATAATTAGTAAAGAATCTAATTGTTTATCTGGAATATTCAACTCAAACTTTAATTGTGTTTTAAGTAAGGGTTCTCAGTCAGAATTTAGTACTTAACATCTTAATATTATGTAATGTGTTCTTTATGGAATTTATAATTTTAATTATTTTTAACATGGGAAAAGCTTTTCTTATATTTGGAATTAGGAAATACTCCATGTTTTAAGAAAAATCAGCTGTGTAGGAATCTAAGATTTGTAAAGCTACCCCTATACTTACCTTTACCAGAAAGACTCCTGTCATAGCCTCTTATTTTTCTCACTTCAATTTTTAAAGAATAATGAGAAAATAGTTATTTCCCAGGAAACAGTGCCCCAAGTATCCAAAGAGACACACTCCTTTGCCTCACAACTGCTTCTTTGTGCTCTCAATGTGTAGGGTTATGTGTGTCATCAACGGCAAACTGTGCCATTTTAGCTATTCAGTTTCAGACATGGTATTCAAGGTCTTTAGTGATGTTCAGTTATGCTCTCTGAGGTCTCTCCTGCATTAAAAGGCACTGTTTGGCTTTAGCTGTGGTAGCTTGGCTAGTGCAATGAATTGCACAATCTCTCCCTTTCCCTGGACAATTACCACCATGAAAACAGAGGTATGCTCCAAATGGAACAAAAATATACTCAATTCACCTCAGTCAGAAAGAAGAAAGATATCAAGGTTGGTCTTGTTAAACATCATTTCCTTAGAAATTTGTGTTATTGTTTGAGCTAAGCATTTAGATTTGTGGGCACAAATGGGATCTCTTTGAAGTTAAGAAGAGGCCCACTGTGAAAGAAGGAAGATAGCCATTACTACACATTTTATGTGCTGGGAAAATAAAGTCCCAGGACTGTAAATATACTCTGCAATTACAGGAAGTGAAACACTTTCTTCTTTCACCTTTGGTAAGAAGGAGTATTTTTCTCTAGAAAGAATTCTGTTGGATTTTCTCTTTTGACGTCCCTAACTCCCCCAAAGTATTCACCTTTTGAATGAAAGGGAAAGATCCCATAAATATAAATGAGCAGGACTTTCCAAGCAAAATATGCCTGTAAGGATATCTGTAGGACACTGTAATGCATCAGGATGGAGCAGAAGGCGAAATGGAGGGGGTATGTTTTGGATTAGGTTACTTCTCTCTGTGTTAGAATCTGTCCTATTCCTGGGTAAATCACACACACTTCTGATTTCCTCATGTAGAAAACATGCCAATAATAACTACTCCAATGCTTGTTGTAGTGTTAAATGTGATGTATCCCATGGATACTATTCTTAGCAAATCCCAAAGATTCATTGATGTAGAAACTTCTGTTGTTTTCCCTGTTATGACATATCTTCTAAGCATTTTCCCTTGCTCACTTGAGAAATCAAGTATCGATAAGGAAGAAAACATTTGTTAAAACTTTTTTGACAGCTGGTAAAGGCAGTATTTCCTGTGTGTGTGTGTGTGTGTGTGTGTGTGTGTGTGTGTGTGTGTGTGTGTGTGTGTGTTAGGAGAATTCCTGTTGGTCAGAGGGTTTGAAAACATCCAAGAAACATCACCAAAGAAAGAAAAGGAATAAACTCAAAAAGAAGATCATTATATATCTGGTTACCTTGTTCCAAATTTGATTGAAACTTGCAAATGTCTACTTTTCTTTACAAATCAAGACTATGAGCACATTTTTCTTACTCTTTAAATTTTAATCATGCGTGCATTCTTAGGTGTTGCATTTTTTGAGCTATTATTAAAAATACATATGTTCTTGCCACATTAAAGGGAGAACGGAGGCTTGTGTGTTGTATTACTAATTTTGTGCTGGAAATAAAATGTTGGTCAGCCTTTGTGGAGGGTGCATACACAAGCCCCTAAGCAAAGAGTTTTGCACTTGGGTGGAGCCATGTGCGAAGCTGGTCCCTTTGATTAAGCAAAGTACTCACTCTTGAGGTCTAAGTTCCTGGCTCCCGCAGTGATTTGCGTTGTGATTTTCGTGTCAATCTTTACAGTGTGGAGATTGCTGGTGTCCCTTGATATCATGACATTGTGCCACTGATTGTCGTTGAGTGGTTTATTTGAGCTCCCTTTGATGAGGTTAGCACCATTTCCCAAGTCAAACACATAATGCAAGTACCTGGGAAGAAAATGAAACAGGGAAGTATCATTACTTTTTGAATTTTTGATGGAGTCAAATCAGATATTACAAGTGAGGATTTTTCTTTTCAGGTGGCTCCATTCTTGCTAAAAGTCCTGAGTATGAGTTACAGGAGAGGAAGGCTAATAGTAGGGTAAGAAACCACTGTTTCCCCAGAAGGTAATAACTTTCACTATGATTTCCCCATTTCCGCCAATTCCCCCACTCTTTGCTAACCACACTGAAATAGCAATTCTCGGTTTCATGTAAACTGCTTTTCTTCTTCAGCTTGAATCCCCATTTCTTGAAGGATGTGTACTCATCCATCAAAACCAAACTCAAATATCTATTTCAGGTCCCACATGCCTTTCAAATTCCCAAAATCTTGCCTGAGCTTTTGTATGGTTCATCTTGGGAGATTTCATTTTTTGTTATATTTAGGTATTCACCTGTGCCCTCAAGCTTGTCTATTGGTGACGGGGAGAGACTTAGGATTGGTGGGAATATAATATGTGTGCAGGGCTGACAAATGAAAAAACTGCCTGGCTCCTAATCTAATCCACTGTACATATGCAATAATATTCACTAATTGAATGAGTAAATGCCCAAATCAATGAGAAGACATCAAATTTCCGTCACACTCTCAAAGAGATGTCAGAAAAATCATTCTTTCTAAATTATTCATAGATCTGTGACATGAAATAATCCTGAGTTAAATGGAATTTTGTGAAATTTAGGTAATCTGATTACTTGAAATAGCTATCTAGGTTAGCACAGACTGGCTTACAAACTTGCAGGAATTAAATTATGCCTAGTCAGGAAACATACATTGGGAATGAGAGATTCATGGGATGCCTACCATAAGGAAAAGTAGGTACAAATTATTGAACTAAAGCCATATGTACTTAAGGTGCCTAATAAATAATACAAACAATGCATTATTTGTCTTCCTTGTCCTCTTGTTCACCACTTTATAAGTCAATGTATTCTGTTTAATATATTTTTAAAAATTAAAGTCCATTTTTGCAGTTTTATTTGTCATTGAACTGACATATACTTACCCTTTAACTAATTCAACCACAATAAAGTCATTTCCATCCCCACTGTTATATAAGATTAGTCCATCTAGAGATGTTGTCTTGAACTGGAAAAAAAGATGCATAGAAGTGTAGGCTTGCAATGTAGCTAAGGCAACATAGCTTGATTTGGTCTTGAAGGTGACAGGGTCTGCTATGATATTCCTGAAGCCAAATCTGGCATTGAGCTCACAGTAATCTATGTCACCATTTTTACACAAGTCAATGTATGCCATTCCATTAAATGTCAGGCTCTGCAGGTGTCCAATGAAGTTGGAGGGGACAGAAGAAAGATATCGTCGTTCTGTGATGATGCCAGTCTCTATGTTATGGAACTCTAGCCTTGTATGGTCTCCTGCCATTTGGCCTAAAAGATAATATATTATTTATATTATTATTTTGTAACCTGAAGGACACTTTTCAACTTTAGACATCCTTAGCAGTAGTACATTTTAAAATATAAAAATCCAAATACCTCATTGATAGTTACATATGGAAGGAACACATACATGACATTACATTAATGGATAAAGATGGCTCAATCAATAAAATTTTCTTAACTCAGGTTTTAATCTCTGCCCAAATTTTAATTTTAGCAAAAATCAAGCTCATTAACAATTTATAGATTTTTTTAAAAGTGAAAGAAAGATAAATTAAGAAAAGAGAAAGGAAAAAGTAAGAAAGAGAAAGAGAGAGGAAGGAAGGAAGGAAGGAAGGAAGGAAGGAAGGAAAGGGAAGGGAAGGGGGAGGGAGGGAGGGAAGAGAGAAGAATTAAAAGTATGATTGTCCTAAATCTTCCTTTTAGAAATTGATACTTCTCATGTTCATGGTTGGTGATGCTTTTCTTTATATTCTTCAAGGAAAAATATGTTACTATATATTTTCTTATACATAACAGAAATAGTGAAGACCTACTGACTATTATTCCAAAAGTGAGCCATGAAATATTATTTAAAAGTAAATATATTCTTTTCACTTTCCCTTTTCTGAGCTGAATAATACCCATAGTCTCTCCCTGATCTAATCTCCCAAACATTCTTTTGATCTCTGGACCTATGACATATTCCTTGCCTTTTTGTTTTCAGTAAACAATTTGGGCACAATGTAATAATTCCAAACACAACCAATGTTGAGAATGCCAGTAAAATTAGCCTACATTAACTAATAATCTTTTCTAAACATCCTAGTGGGAAGCTTGGTTTTTATTTAGTGATTAACTTTTCAATTCAGCCCCACCCATCTTTAATCCACTATATTTGCCTGCCAAGCACATTAAAACCAATGCAGTTCAATCTATACTTTCAGAGTGATTACTGCATCTTTCTGTAAGGTTAAAGTTAAATGAAACAAAGATGTGAACTTGTTTTCTGAGTGGTAAAGCACAAAGTAAATAATAGGTACTCTTTGCTTATGGTTCATTCCTAGCATCTTTTTCTTGTCTAATTAAACTGTTGTTCACTTTCTGCTGCAACTTAAAAAGGTCACTTAAATTGCAATCAAGTCCTTCCAGCCAAGATTCTCCACCCAACTTGGCATAACTGGAAAATTTATCAAACTTCTCCTATCCTATCATTCATATTAATGAAAATATTAGTTAGGCCAATCTCAGAATCAATCCCTGAAAAATTGTACTGAGCAATTTTCCCAGTTGTAATGTTGATTGGACATCCACCTATGGGAGTCCCCTTTAACCAGTCTTACAGGCTTCCACTTATTTAATCAAAATAGTAAAATACTGGATAGTATCCCAAAGAATTGCCCGTAAGTAAAATACAAAGGGAGTGCTTTTTGTTGTTCAAGAAAAACTGTTTATATAATTAATTGACTTTGATGTTTATAAACTCATTAGTATAAAAAACAATTCCCTCAACTGTACTTAATTGTGCTTATTTTCAAACATTCCATACTAGTTCTTAATCTTTTATGACAGAACTCTAGCCATCCTTGCTCTGTCCTCTTTTTTGGCAATTAGCTTGTTTCATTCTTATTCTATATACTTAAAAAAAAGAGAAACAAAAATATCACTGTGCATGTTTGTCCTAATATCTCCCCTCTAGCACCATGTCTCTGATTGTCTGTCTGAGGCAAAATACTACTACATTCTTAGCAATTCTGGGTTATCATATAGCATCATTTCTCTTTCCCTTTTCAGTTCTTCTTTCAGTGGCCTCAGTACTGCTCTGTGGGAATCCAACTCTTCAGTAACAAATAAAATCAATCTTTAATAATTTCCTAATATAGAGTTCTAGGGACACCAGAAGCATTGAATCAATAAGCTATATAGAATGGAGAATATGAAAAATCACTTGGGCTTTATATCGCTTGTGTGATTTTTATCTTATTTTCTACATCAAAATTTGAGTCTTAACCCAGTGAATCTCACTCTAGTTCTAAAACTAATTTTTCTTCTTAGAGACTCTACTGATGAACAATCTATAGCAAGGAAATGTCCAGAAAAAGTATTTCTTAGGCTTGAAATTACATACTACTCCCAAATTGTCAAGATTTTCGCAGTTCCAAAATAGGGAAGAACATTTTGGTTAGCGGGACTGAGAAGTTCAGTTACAAAAATAGTACTTAATATTTATTTTCCCTTCTCAAAGGAATAGAATATTTATGTAGAGTATAAATAATAAAAAGAAAATAAAACAGTGTTGAAGCAACCATGGCCCATTAACAAGAAAAAAAGACATATAGTCCATGTTCAAAGACTTATTCTTTCTCTCATAAGCATATACAAATCACATAGATAGTAATGAGAAATAAGTTTAATTCATAGGGAATAATGAGCACCTAAAAGCAATTATCCATGAAGAAACATTGACTGCTACCTTTTAAAAACTATTTTACACTCAGAATTTGCTCCAGTGTTTAATCTTCATCAGTAATGTAGCCGCCTTTACCATTTTATGAATACATATACATACACATAAACACACACACACACACACACACATAAAGCAAAAAATAAAGAAGTTCAAAGGAGAGAGAATTTATGAAGTTTTTTGCAGAAAGACTTTTATGGTTCTGTTTAAAAAATTTACTGTTAGCCAAGTACCGGTGGCTCACACTTGTAATCCTAGATACTCAGGACGCAGAGATCAGGAGGATCATGGTTCAGAGACAGTCCTGGGCAAATAGCTTGGGAGACCCTATCTCAAAAATACCCAACACCAAACAGGGCTGGTGGCTCAAGTGGTAGACCACCTGTCTACAAGTATAAGGCCCAATAGTTCAAATCCTAGTATTGCCAAAAAAATGTACTGTCAATTCCAGAGATTGAGTTCATAAGAGAATTTAGATTAACATAATACTCTCAATCAGGGTGCTAGAGGAATACTGGATTGATGGCAATCTTCAATATGAAAAAACCACCAAGTTATGATTCCTCAATGGTCTGTTTGTATAGGTATCTCTACACATTTCACATAGAACAAAATGTTATTCCCTATTTTGGAGTTACCAAGATTTGACAATTTGGGGTACTATGTAATTTTAAAGTATGTAACATCTAAGTCAAATCTTTTTACCAAAACTAATACTAAAATTAATTATTTTAGGTTCAGCTTTGTTCTGATTCAGAGTAAATTTCTGGTGTGGAACAAAAGAACCACTAAGCCTCAAATCCACTTAACTGACTTAAATCACTGCATGTGCAGTATATAAATCAGATGCTGAGCTAGTGAATGAAGAAGTAGTATTGAGAAGAGCTGGCATGGCCTCTGTTCTCCCACAACTTGTAGCTTACTAGGGGATGGCAGACAAAAGAAGAAGAAATGGAAGTAAGCATATAATTAAATATATAATAGAAAAACTCAGAAAATGAATTTGATGAATGAGGTGGTGTATTAGTAAGTATAAAATAAGAATAGGTGCCTGAAATTATATTTGTTAGATTTGATAGATTAAAAAGAGAGAGACATACTTAAAACCAGTGAAGGGAAATCAAGAGGTGGATTATAGGAAGGGGAGGCCAATAAATAAAACTTTTGGAGGATCTTGAGCTAGAGTCATACGCAAATGAGATTTGTGACTCATACTGGATCAGAAGGATGCCAAGAGTAGTTGTAGCAGAAAATAGACAAAATAAGATAATTTTACAGATATAACGTGCAGGATTTACTAATGATGTACAGAATGATGAAGAGGAGAGAAAGAATGATGCCCGGCTCTCAGGCTAAAGTTACTGAATATATGGGGAGTCCTGTTCTATAAGGACATGTACAAACATACAGGCACAACACACAATTCCACATTTTTTAGACAAAGTTATGAGTTGAAGTAAAAGGACTCCCCACTTAGGGATCCCACATAATTTGTAAGACCCTTTCCCATTTGAGACCTAGGAACTCTCCTTCCTTTACCTTTTCTGCTGGCAATTCCTGTCCTCCTCTTCCTAGGTGAAGTGCAGACATTTCTAAGAATAGGTTTAATGCATACTGTCCTGTGTTCAATAAATACTTAGTAGAATTACTGTGGGTTAAAGATGAGGAAAAATGTAGGGCCTTGCATGTAGGGTCTCTAGTGCTTTCCTTTTTAAAATTCTTCCTGTTCAGACTGCATTATTTAATAAGAAACTCCCACTGCTTTACAGATTTATAAGTGGCTTCAAGTGGGTTTTTGAAACAATCCCACTCAAAATTTAAGTCTTAATGGCAAGTTCCCACTGCTACTTTCAGAAAGCTTTTTTTATACTGTGTAAATCAAGGCTGAATTGGTATTGTCATTATTTTTTGGCTTCATGAGATCATTGACACAAAGGAAGGAATGAAAGACAGAAAGAATGGGGGAAAGAAGTAAATAAATAATCCAAAGTATTTATAAAACTCAGTATTTAAGTGTATATTTTTAAAATCTTAAACAGGAAGGAATGAGAAGAATCACAAAGTAGTCCTGAATTCTTTTTTAGTTGCCTTATTGACTATAGTAGAACAAATAAAGCAATTCTGAAAATATTTTCAATGCATTATCTGATTGAACAAATGAATAAATGATATTACGGACTGCCTAGGTTCTCATCTTGGAGGGAAACATATGAAAATATGGGACATGGGAAATCAAGAAACAATGCAGTATCTCAGCACTTTGGAAGACAGAGTAAGGAGGGCCCCAAGTTCAAGGCCAGCCTGAGATACACAGTGAGACCCTACCTCAAACAGAGAAAGGGGGATGTATGGAGGTACCTGAAATATGTGTATGTGCATGTTTATGCACACATGTAATTTATATGCGTGTGCATATATTTACATATATATGTGGGAATGCATTTTCAATCTCTGGCTGATGAAAGGGGTAAGAAACAAGGCCATCCCCGTAGCACTGAGCACACCTTATCACCCAGATCTCTGTTTATATTATTTCTCACTAAATGGAAATGAAGTGGCTAGTCCCACCAGAGGGGCATAGTAGATAAAAGTTGTGCCTGGAACATCATTCTATGACCAAAAGTAAGAAAGTACTGAAACGGATAAAACTGGGTGAATCAGGACACAATATAATAATGACCAAATTAATGGGATACATCTTAAGTAAAACCAAGAAAATCTGAGCACTACATTGATGAAGTAAAGTAATTATAAATTGCTGTAAAATATAGAAACTTGTGGATCCACAGTAAAAAAGGAAAGAAGGAGGGAAGAGAGTGAGGGAAAAGGAAAATAAAAAAAAGGATGGCCAGAAAGAAGGGAGGGTATTGCTTGCAGCAGAATGCTAATTGTTGACTGTACTGTGGTATGTGTCCTGGAGTTGGAAAATCATTATTTCTTTAATATCATAGTAAAGACTGGACCAGATAAAAATCTTCAGTGGATGCTAGTCTTGATGAATTACAGGATATGTGCACGGTGTTAATATGTCTCTCCACAGATGATTTATTAGTTGCAAGGAGAGAACATACTAACTACTGTGAAAAAAGCCCAGACAACATATCCACTAACTGGTCAGATTTAATAACCAAATTCAGGACACAGAAAGCATGTGCCTCTCAGTGAGTGTCTCCAGACAGAATCCTGTAAGAAGGTTATAACATCAAGAATGTGGTATTTCTTTCAAGAGTGCTAAACCTGAATTTAATCATGAAGAGACATCAGATAAGCACAAAAATGAATAATGTTACATTAACACAAGTTAGAGGCAGAGTATTACATTGTTCACAACTGTCACTGTTATAAAAGACAAAGAGAGTTTATGAAAAGTTATAGATTAAGGGAGTCTGAGAGGCATGACAACTAAATGAAATATCTGACCCTAGACTGCATATTGTGTTGAAGAGAGAAAATACTTATATAAACAACATGGAGTCAACTGACAAAATTGGGCTAGGGCTGATGTGAAAGACAAAATATATTGCATTAATGCCAAATTCACTGAAGTTGACATTTTAACTTTGCTGTGTAAGGGGCTGTTCTTATTATCAACTGGTTAAGAAAATAATGAAAGAGGGAGAGAGGAGAGTGAGAAAGAGCAAATGTCAAAGCAAATGGGATCAAATTCTTGCAAGAGTAAAGATACACCAATGTTCTTTGTATGATTTTTAGTTTTGGAAAGTTTGTAAGTTTAAAATTATTTCTAAATAAAATTCATAAAAAGTGCTTTTCACCCTTCTTTACTCAATCCCTACTATACCTGTTGTAGTTCAAGGCTGACATCTTCAAGGTTTTATATCTTGAATCATCTAATTACTGATACAGGTCTAACTTTGGTCCAAACGTATGTTCTTGCCTTCAGCCTAAATTGTCTGAAAAATCATGATATATAAACTTCTCAGTCTACAGCATTTTCTCCTTGGTTCTAAATAGCCTTTCCAGCATAATCAACCACCAATGGTTGTAGAAGCCAAAGAAAATTCCTCAGTTCCCTGAACATTAGTTTGTTTAGCTCTACCTTTCTTGTGTGGAATGCTCTCCCATATGTTTTTATCATCTCTATTACCCTTTTTTTTTAAAGGTTAATTAGCTATTGCTTTAAGGTATTGCTGAAACCGAGTTCTCAACCTCTCTTCTGAACTCCGAGGGCATGGCTTCTTATGTTAACTATTAATTTTATCAGCTCTCATCTGAATTTTATATGTATGTATTATTCTCAAAATAGTATGCTATGTTTGAGAAGGTACTTATCATGGAGCCACACATTTATTAGGATATTAATTAATATAAATGAATAGACTACAAGGCATAAGCCAATGAAACATACCAGGCATGGTATACATGCTCGTAAAATCAGCACAGGGCAGTCTGAGGCAGGAGGATTGTTAGTTCTAGTCCAGCCTAGACTACATAGTGAGTTCCAGGCCCACTTGGGTTACACAGTAAGACCTGGTCTCAAAAAAAGAAAAAAAAAGAGAGAAAGAAAATAGACAACCCAAAACAAACCTTGATTCTCTTCTCAGAACAATGACAGGATTCACTTATCCTCTCTGAGTCTGTTTCCTCCTTTTTTAACTGGGAATATATGCACCCTATCTACTTCATAGAAATGTGTGCTTTCTGAGAGACACTCAAGAGACTACAGAATGTTCTGATGTGATGTTTGCATGTTCTTGCCCTGGCAGCTGTTCCTTCCTAATCTCTTGACCATGACTTTAGACTCTGTTTATTCTACCCCCTTTGGATAAACCTCCAATTGTTGAAACAATGAATGATAATTTACGAGAACAATTCTTTTCTCTTCCTAAAACTGTCCTTGACCAAAACTGGCTGAACTTCAGCTAGCACTCTTCTGCCAAAACCCTGAAAAATTCTGCCTTCCTTTCTTAAGCTTAGGTAGTTAGTTCAGACCCTTCTCATGATTGGCAAGTTTGAAGAAAGGCTTATGCTACAAGCACTCCAGTTGATATTCTTCCTTGGTGAATAAAATGATATAACATAATACAGTAATGGTTTCTAAATGACTATCCTGGTGCCAATGGCATTAGAGTCCCCTGATGATATTTTAAGCAAACCAAATTACTGGCCTCCTCCCCAGATGTCCCGTGGTACAGAGATCCAAGCTTATCTGTTTTGTTCTGTTTTTTTTAACTTGTGGGGGACAGCGTCTCCCTATGCTGCCTAGGCTGGTCTCACACTCATGATCCTACCTGAGCCCCTGAAGTTCTAGAATTACAGTATGTGCCAGCACACCCACTTAACTCATTCTTTTAAAACTCTTCAGACACGTAGCACAGAAAGTAAAGTTCTACTCATATAGAAAAAAGAAATGGAAAATCACAAAAAGTCAATGAAATATAACATAGTAAGAGATCTATGAGATGGTGGTTTGCTTTCTTTGAACTCAAGAACCCAAGAATGATGCCTTCAAAAGTTATACTCCCAGTGGGGTACTGGTATCTCACACCTGTAATCCTAGCTACCTGGATGGCTGAGATCAGGAGGATCAAGGTTCGAGGCCAACCTGGCTAGACTCCATCTCAACCCAAGCTTGGTGTATGGTAAACATACCAAGCCATGCAGGATTGTGGTTTCAGGCCAGTCCAGGGGGAAAAAATGTTTATGAGACCCCATCATAATGGGAAAAAGCTGGGCATGGTAGGGTGTACCTGTTATCACAGTGGCAGTGGGAAGCATAAGCTAGGAGGATTATGGTCCAGGACAGCTTAAGCAAAATACAAGCCACAGCAAAAGCTAATAACCAGAGCAAAAAGGGCTGAAGATGTGGATCAGTTGGTAGAGCACCTTCCTAGCATGTACAAAACCCTGAGTTGACAATTCTCTGAGCATGGGAACCCCCCTTGGGATCTAATGTACAACAAACATGTCTCCACTTCCCAAGGGCCATTTGTGCTTTGTAAATTAGCATAGAACTGATTTCTACAAGAGGAAAAGAGCTAATACAAATGATTGGATTTATTTTCAGAAAACTGCAGTTATACTCATTCCCATTTCATTTCACTTCCCTGTGTTTCCAGGGTGGACCTTTACACCACTCACTTCAGTTAGGATCTATAAATTAAGGATTGAACTTGACATTCTTAACATTAGAGTTCAACTAAATGAAACGACTAAAATTGATCTATCATAGCATAACATGAAAAACCAGTTCACCTGATAGAACTCTAGCATACCTATCAATTTACTTAGGAACTAAAAACTAGAATTTGCTAGTGCTCATCATCCAAATATATAAGAAACAAGGAAACTGAAGAGAAACTGACAACCAAGCAATGACTGCAGCATTTTATGAGGCATTAAGATGTTTATCAAACCACAAAATTAAAATATGCCATATTTCTTCTTTAATTATTAATGGATAAAGAATATAACATAAAAATTATTGTTCATTTGGGAGGAAGCAGGCTGCTTGTGGAATGGAATTGTTACTAGAAAAGTTAGAATAAAAGTGGACTCTGTATAAATTGCAAGTATTGTACAGTCTTGGTTGGAAAAGCCATTTACAAGCAATGAGGAAGTCTGACACTTTATTACAAGAAAAGGCAATGGGGACACGAGTGTTTACCTGTCATGGCCTGTTGATCATCCACTGTTAACTTTAAACTTTTTCCTCGACGAACTACACGCACTGTGTGCCATTCATTATCATTGAGGTTATAGCCAGCAAAAAGGGTCTCGGGACCTTTGCCTGTAGAATATGCCAAACAGTCATTATGAACACTCAGAATCAGTCAAGCAAATGAACCTCACAGAAAGTGAGAGAAAGAGACAAAGGAGAAAACAAGAGAGAGGAGAGAAAAGAGATAAGAAAGAAATGAGAGAGAGGAAGGAGAGAAAGGAGAGGAGTGAGAGAGAGAAGAGAGAGAGAGAGAGAGAGAGAATGAAGAAAGATGGGCTGGACCATTTTTAAGCCCATTAGAGTCATAACAAACAAGGAAAATGACAAGTTAACAAACATTCAGGTGTAACAATTTAAGAATCTTTAACCTTATGCATTGATCACAAATGAGCTAACTTGCTGTCATAAATAGGCACAGTCAATATAGCATTGGGAAGTCTCCCAAACTTACACACACACTTTTTTACCTGGATTTTTTTTTTTTGCAGTAATCACTTTCTTATTAATGAAATGGTTAGCAGCCATGTAACCTCTGAGACATCTGACTGTAAGTCATTACCGCACCATTTTCAGGGCAGTGGGTAACTGGCTTAGGCTCGGGAGGGAAGCTCTAGGTCTTCCTCTGCTCTTACATCATGTACCTCCAATATTCATCAAGTTACTAGCCTCCTTCATCAGCTTCTTAAAATGAAGACTGCTCTGTGTAAAAACTAAGTCTAAAAAGCTTCCTAATAACTAATTGACCTATATGTTGCAAATCTCTGTGTGTATAGTAGAGATGTTCTTGTGCTTGAAAGAACTGGACAAGAGTAAAAGAAGGCACAAACAGTAAAAGGCCAAATGTGGAGTAGGAAGAGGAATAAAAATTATATTAGCCAATGATATAGGTTAAGGATTCCCAGAAAAATGGCCAAAAGAAAGAGGGTAAATAGTGTAGCCAACTAAGGAAGTAATTTCTGGTGCATCTTTGTAAGTCTATGCAAACAAAGTTTAAATAGACTTAGAACAGATATATTATTTCAGAAAGGAGTTTTGTGAAAATTATTAAAATGACAAAGTTAAACTACATCTCTCTTCAAGTTAAAAACAAGAGGAAAGAATTCCTTTAATATACCTATAGTTTTTATTAAAATAAGTATTTCTATTAATCCAACATCATGATTCATTTATAAAAATATGCTAAATATACATTTTTGGTGACTTCCCCTTTTTTAATGTACAGAAACTTGCTGGTACATTAAAATAATAAATGGCTCTGAGTTTCATGATATTCCCACTGATACAGGGTCATGACTGGTATTGGTAATCTCTTTAACCAAAATCTGCCAGCAAAGCCTATTGATATTTCAAGATCACAGTCAGCAATGATATAACCCAAGGAGAAGGAAAAACAAAAGAAGAAAATGAAAAATAAGTCAGGGAAGCAAATAGAAGAAACCTTAGTAGTTCATTCACATGGAATCACTGTTCCCTTTCAGAACCACAGGCTCTCCATCCACCTCTTGATTGCCTTCTTTTGCCACTGGTAATACATGTAAATCTTGTTTCCCTTAGTTGATATGTCTCTGAGGCTTAAAATGAGACAGTTATATAAGCTAAATTTTGCAAAGTTAATTGTCTGAATTCTTTAAAAAGTACCAACCACCATTAACATTAGAATCCATCTCTTGTTTTTTTTAGAGAAGTTAAATTACATATCCATATGCATAAAGAAAAAGTTCTAGATAGATCAGTTTTGTGAGATTGATCACTAAATAACAAGAGGAAGCCTGTTAGTTCAGCAACTACAAAAAATACTGTGAGCCCAAATGTTGAAAGCAAGTTTCCGGATCAAAGGAACTCTTTCTAGTTTCAATAGTGAAGAAAGGAGTGTTTAATAACCATAGCAGCTTAGTATCCTACTGGCAGCCAGGGTCATCCTTAGTTTTGATCTTTGAAAAGAGAATGTATCATTTTAAAGCTATTTTTACAAGAGAGATTTTTTTTCTTAGAAAGGTGTGCTTTTGAAGCAGCTTTCCTCTCATTCTTTTAATATGAAATGTGTTTTGACAGGGAAAAGAAGCATATGGGTCATATCATTACTATGCCACATTCTGGGCTTGATCTTGCAATAAAGTCATAATGCTTAATCTATGAAACAACTATTTCCATAACAACAGGCACAAAATCCAATTAAAAATAACCCTTTGGTTCATAAAAATCCCTATGGGCCAACTTCAAGCTTCTTTCTTGCATTATTAAAAATGTGAACAGATTGATTTTGGAAGACAACATTCTTAAAAATGCACCTAATAGTCTCAGTTCAGAACAATGGTACTCGTGTAACATGAAGTGTTAGGGAAAGTGCACCGTGCTGGGAGTTAAGAATGTGGTTGCTAGACTTTGATTTGCTACTAAAAAGAAGTTGGAGGCTGATGAGTGCTTATTGTACACCAGGCAATTTATCTGCTTCCTTATTTCATATTTACATTATTATCAACTTTCAGATATGGAATAGAAGGTTTATAAGGCTAAACCTACTTGTCCTAAGGTCACACAGCTAAAAGTGGTAGAACTGAGTGCCTGCTTGCTTTCTCCTGCATTATTCAGCCTGCTCTCCCTGAGACCCTTGGCTACCAACTTGACTTAGTTTCCCCATATGTGACAGAAGGAGGGGAAGAACATGTTTTTCATGATGAGCTCATCGTGCAGAAGGATCACACTGTTAAGGAAAAATTTACACAGTCTCTGCATTAGTTCTGGTAGAAGAAAATCTTTAAATAATCTACTATTTCTCTAGAAAAAACTAAAATGGCTGCTCCTAAACATGAGGAACCCTCAACCAATAATCAGCAATGTGGTAGAACATTCAGCTTCTAGTTGAGTCATCATCTTAATCCCCATCCACAAAGAGAGGAGATAGTTCAGCTGACCTCTACAGTCTCTTCATAATCCCACATTTTCAACAGTAATATGATAATAAAAATTTAAAAATACTACCTGGGAAATAATCCAAATGCCAAATAAGAAATAAGTAACCAGTTAAATAAATTATGATATATACAGAAAAGAGAACCTTCATTTTCACAGAAATTTTAAATATATGGAATAGTTTTTAAAAAAAAAAAAACAACATAATCACTGACATTTTGTGTGGGGAGCAGTTTGTTCTCTTGCTAAAATTTTAATGACAAAGTATAGTCACTCAAGCTGTTAATGACCTTAATTCCTTAGTCCCCTTTGAGGATTTCCTCTTCTCCTTTAAAGATATCAAAGTACATCTCAATTATATTACCATCTTTCTCCCAGAAATGATGTATGTGATGGACTGAATGTTTATATCTCCACCCAAATCCATACGTTGATTGTATTAGAATGTGGCACTTTTGAGGGATAACTAGGTTTATATGAGATCATGAGGCTAAAGCCCCATGATGGAATGAATATCCTTACAAAAAGAGTAAAAGATATGAGATGTTCCCCTTTGTTATGTGAAGATGGGTGTACAAACCAGGAAGAAGGCACTCACAAAGAACAAAATGTAAAGTACCCTGATCTTGGTCTTTTCAGCCTCCAAAACTATGAGAAAAAAGGTCTATGTAAGTCAACCAGTCTATAGTATTTTGTTATAACAGCCCAAATGCACTAAGATGGGAATCAATATTTTAAGCATTGTTTCTTAAAGATATTCCTTTGTTTTGTGGGAAGTCATGACTTACATGTAATTTTATACTTGACTTATACTGTAACTTATTATTTATACAGTAAAGATAGGATTTTTTACATTTTTTACTCAAGGAAGCATATCTAGAAAGGCTAAGTGAATTATTGTAAGTCTCAGAGGCAGTAAAGAATGGAGCCAAAACAGATTTTGAGACCTTCCATTTCCATTAAAATGCTCTTGTCACAGAAACTGTTATGCAGTTAGTAAAAGGTGCAATGGGGCTGAATGCCCACAGGTAATAATTCACCAAACTGGGTCAGAATTCAGCTCTATGGGCTAATACTATGTTATAGAATTTGAGATATAGAAGTACACTGGGCCACCTACACACAAAGGATATGAAATTCAAAGAAATTGGATGGCATCTCCATGGCCACAATGATTTAATGTGGAATCCAAGTCTCCAGATTACCAGTCTAGTAAACTTAAAAAATTTCATAAGAGTTTCAGTCACTTTAAAGAATTTAACCTAAGGTATGAAATGTTTCAGTTTTCCTTAATATAGCTTGAGTTGATTGACCTTTCATAACCTGCCCATTCAAGAACTGAAGGTGTCTCTAAGAATTGTTTCTAAAAAATTAGAGTTAATCCTAACTTGAAGTATAAAACAGATGGAGGAAAGTGTGTGTGTGTGTGTGTGTGTGTATGAGAGCAAGAGAGAGAGAGAGAGAGAAAGACTAATTACTTCCATTTCCATTTTCACATCAATGTGAATCTTGAGTTTTTTTTAACACTAGTCTCGGAAAAAAGGAAATGGTAGAGTATAGTTTTATAGTGTTCCACTATGGAAGGTGGTGGGAGAAAACTAGAGTATGTCCCTAATTTGCTATTAAGTAATTTTGTCACTTTTAGCAAATAACTTTTCTACCCTTTTCCTATTTTTATCTATAAAATGATGGTGCTTTTATGAGGATAACAAACACTTTCTTGTGGTCAACTATAACATTCTGTTATTCTTGTAAGGACCAGAGAGCCCTGTATTATTTCCCTACCTTAAAGCTACATGAACAAGAGCAATTTGATAATGACATTCTGTAAATACATTAATTTTATCATTTTTGTTTGGGCATGGGAAGGCAGGGGCCAGAAAAAAGCTCAAACACACTTTTGCCATAGAATTAATATACTCAAATGAAACCAAAAGCACAATATTACTATGCACCTAAGACATTATTTAGTCAAATTCTGACTGTGTTTATTGTTAACCTGACATCCCTCACAAAACATAATAGCAAATGATAAATGATGAGTTGTAAGAAAGAGGTACTCTATTTTCTGTATCCAGAGTATCCTCCTATTTATGGACAAGTTATTTAGGGCATTGAGTCACAGATTGGAAGCTTATGCTGTGAAATAATGAAGTGGT